TACCATCCATGACCGTTCCCACCTGTTTCTGATTTTCATATTTACTATAAGATAATATTAATCTGTATAGATTGTATTCAATTGTTCTTGATGTTTCCGGTACTTCCGATGATGTGCATCAATTCTCAACGACCGCGTCACCGCCGGGTCACCGAGGTATTGGAGCTCTCCCAGCTGTTTCTGGCATCGAGTGGGGTCGATCTGCAAGAAGAGCAACGACACGGTCTCCACCACGTTGTTACTTCGCTCAGCCCCTGAGCAATCTGTGAAGAGCAGACCGGATGAGCAACAAAACGGGGTCGTGTGAAGGTGAGTTGGACGAGGAGGGGGTGTCAGGAGGGGGTGGAAAGAAGCTCTGACAAAGGAAGGACGCTTTGAAGGGGTCGTGCAGTTGTGCATACATGCATTTTGGTTGGGATTATGTTGTTGGTTCTAAGAGCCGAGGGAAATGGAAGCAATGTGTTTGCAGGGATGGACCGCTGGGTGGTGGAGTTAGCCCAAGACCCACGTTTTTCCACAGCCATTGTTCAGGCTTTTTAGAAAGACTTGGGGGCTGGCTTTGGCTGGTTAGAAGTAGGATCAGTGTTGGCCAGGGAACCCTGTCTTCCACATCCTCCACTGAATTGCAAGAAAAGCAAGAACACAACAAGAGCAACCACTAACCAAAGCTATCACCACAAGAGCAACGACAATGACAACTGTTACTCCTGGAGGCAAAGATTGGCTGCGAATCTCGTGTCTTTGGGCTCTTACTGATTGCCAAGGTGTTTGTAGTTCAAGTGTTTCAGATGGCCCTTCAAAATGGAGAAGCTTTTTTTACACGTGTATATAATAATGGGAATAATTGAGCCTGGTGTTTGGTTTCATCGTATAAGTGGCTCACAATGCTTCAGGACATGGACAGCCACTCATTCCCAGTATCACTTGCAATTAGTAATTTTGGGATCAGGCTCAAAACATGAGGCCTTAACATCAATCCCTTGTCTCAGCATCGCTGGCTTTAGAACGTGGAAGACATGTGTAATGCTCCATAAATCCAAACATAAGATCTCTCAGCATTCCTCTCCAAAGTACACTCACAACGTCGATCTCCAAACCCCATTGTTTGCCCCATGTGGGTCGTCCCTTTACTTCGTCACACCCAAAACGGATCCAAGGCCATCATGTTGCGCCGCATCTCCGGGGGCCGCATCACCGCAGAAGGTCGGAAGACCAACGGGATGAAATACGCCACCAAGGCGACGGCGATGTCCGGACGGGTGGATGGACACATGGTCTTGACCTCTTCGAAAACGCGCACGTGCCGCGGTGCCGCGATCGCGTTAGGCGTAGAGAAGACACTGTGCGGTCGATGCGCGATGACTCAGCCGGTGCCACACACGTGTCCAGGAAAACACACGACCTGTTTTCTGCTTTCGGACTTCTGAGCGGTTTTGCAAAAAGACTTGTTAGGACCACAGGAGCCCCGGCCTGAATAGAGGTGAGCCCGCAAGTGAACAAACAGGTGTACTCAGGCATGCGAGACTTTGTACCTACTAGAAAAATATATATATTTGATGTGGTTCCTTAAAACAAATAAACAATGGATCGAACACAGCAGCATCAAGTCGATAGATAGTGCGAAAAGTGTTGACTGATACCCGAAACAGGAGTTCTAAGTTCGACAAGCCTAGGCTCTTTGGCTAAAAAAATAGAATTCTGAATATAAACTCTCGCTCTTTGGCTTGGTGTCCTTGTGCTTGGTGTCCTTGGTACTTACGCGTGGTCTCTGAACACCCGTGTGGGCTGGGGTCAAAGTAAATTTACGCCACACTTCTCCATCAACCGGTTTTGCTTCTGAAGATGAATAATGTTGAACATTTTACCAAAACATGAGATGTTCTATTACACTAAATTTGTCTTCTACAATACTGTACTGCCCTCTACTCGAGGTGCAAATCAATTAGTCATTATTTTATAAGTTATACAATGATTCTTTACATGAGACAGCCCGGAAGGATTTCTGGACTCAGCCAGATCATCCCAGATCCGACTCGGCTTGCCCAAGCGAGTTTCGGTTCTTCCCTCATCTACAGGATTCCTCAGATCCACTAGATTTTACTGAACTCCAGCAAGGGCCAAGTCACAGTATCTAGCAGCCAACAGCATCAATGCTTTTTTGTTGTTTCCCATTCGGGATTGGAGGACAAATCTTAGTGAAAGATGCCAGCACCCTCCAACAGGTGCTTTCTGGTGACAACAGGTGCTCAGAAACCACCTGTTAGGGTCTCCAAACAGCCTGTCGGAGGGTCCTGGTACTTGAAATCTCTTTGATCAAACGATTGATCGCTTTTTTTGCCTACTTTCTTCGGGAGGACTGCTTTTTGAAGCTAGCCCCAGCCTTTGCGGAGATCATTAAGAACACCCGCTTGGTTTGGTGAGGCGCGACAAACACGCGGGTTAGATGGGTTCGGAGTTGGAGTGGCGGATCATGGTGCATCCCGGGAATATAGACATGGGAAGAGATTGTGAAGAAGTGAAGTGACCCTTAAGATCATTTTAAGATCTTTAAGGTTTCGATAACAGCTGCTATGGTCGCTGCTTGGTCATGTTGCTTGGTCGCTTTTGTACCGTTGGTTCTGTGTACGGGGTGTTGGTTCTCAGAGGTTTCTTCTGTAGCCTTGCCTGTCTCGTTCTGAGAGACCTAAAGATGCCATCTCAGTGTTCACATCATATTCCCTAGGGTTCCAACTACCTGATAAGGTGGTGGGAGTGAGTTTGTGGGTCCAGCTTCTAAATACCGAGGGATTGTTCCCCAAGTGAGTACCACAATCATGAAAAGCTCTCCTGATAGTCAGCCCTATTCATGGCTGGTAGTGAAAAAAACTAAGAAAGGAAAGAAAAGGTGTTACTAGTAGTAAGGCACTTGTTTCTAGTAGCTTTTTTGTCACTACTAGTAAGGCACCTGTTACTACTAGCGTGGCACTTGTTACTACTAGAAAAGGGTGATAATAGCCCACCCCAAACTCACGAAGTCGACTTGGGGATCGATGTCACTTCCTCCTGTCATGGCATCTTTCTGTAGGTGTCATGACACGGCTTCGCTTCCCAGTTTGATGTGGAAGGATGGGTTTTGGTTCAGCCATCACTCAAGCTCTGCTCTCCCCAGCTTCATCCCTGCGCTGTCGCAGGCGATCTTCCGACCGAACCGCAGAACTCATCGTTTTTTGATGAATTTGGGCTCCAAACCGCTGGCAGCCTGGGTGCCCTGGGCGGCCGACCTGTTCGATGGCGCGATCGTGTGATCCCCCAAAGCGCGTGGTAGCTTCGCCATGTTTGCGTGGTCTTCGGTCCATGTCATGTGCGGCTTTGAGGTGTTCATCTGTCCAATTTCGAGGTTTATAATAGGGGGCCGTACTGGTTTGGACATGGGGTCAGTGCCGGGAAATTATCCTGTACAGCCGGGTATGTTTATAATGCCATGTGACTGTCTACTGTAGCCCTTCTTCAGTCAGACGCCACGAGACTCGTCTTCCGAACCTGGTCGACGGTCGACCAGATCCACCTGGGAGAGATCCGGAGCGGAGCCGGCGATTCGCTCGCTGCACCCGGCGGTGGGCACCTGTGTTGAGCTGGGGTTTGAGGTATTTGTTTCAGGTGAACTCTGGCATGACATCAAAACAAGTATAATTGCAGGGCTCTCTTAGAGGTTTTTGGAAAGGCTTGAAAGGGAGAGCAAGACGCTTTGCAAGATGGTGATGCTGATGTTAAATCAATTGTAAACATAGCGAGAGTGCGGGCAGAGAGCAGAAAATCCGGAGAGTTTAGGTGTTCCAGGGCTTGACATAAAACTGGTGTGTGTTCCATCAAGCAAGCGGGGCCCCTCCGTGGTTTGATGGATATGTCAAGTGGCCACTTGAGCAGGACCGGAAGTTTGGTGGTCACTGGTTTTCGGGGAACATGAGCACAAACAAGCAGGGGATGCCACGGATGCGCCTGAAAGAGGGGACGAGCCTCCATGGTTTCTGGACACCAGCTGTTTTGAACACCTATAGTCCGGACTATAAAAGAACCACAGAAGCGTTGGACAGTCCAAGCTCAAGCTGAGTGAGACTCCTCGTACCACCGCTGGAGCAACGCAGCCAGTCGCTACTTTAGCTGTGCCAAGTCTCCAAAGTGGCGAAAAGTGAACAAAGTGAACTCAGCTAAAGTGAACTTTAGTCGTGGACTGGTTGACTCAGGGCGTCCATTTATAGCCAGGACGCTATGCTCGGTGGAGGCCGTAGGTTAGTAGGTTGGAGGCCACTACTAGTAGCGGTTGGAAGCTAGTAGCTAAACGGTTGGAGGCAAGACTCATAGCCCGTCCTCAACAGTTCTCAGGTGACAAGACGTTTGTGCCAAGTCTCCAAAGTCCAGATTTGATGGTGGAAAGAGCTGGTGGAGAACGGATCATCGTGGATCACGGTGGATCCTCAGAAGCACCTGCCGGTGCTGACAAGACATTCGTCCAACACTTCCGACTCATGGAGATGGCACCGAATTCATTCAGCTCTTCGCCTTTAGCGGCCGACCTCGTGCAAAAAAAAAGAGGGTCGGGCTCGCGCCGGACGGAAGAGAAGAGAACACCGGCCCTGGGTATCCCACGGGATTGAACAAGAAGAAACTGATCTGGAAGTCATGAGATTTACGAGTGTCAGGAACCTGACAGTGTCAGAAAAACTGAGGGATTCTTGAACAGTTCACGCAAATCGTGGCTGTTTGTGCAGAAAGTGTTATTGTTGCTGCCTGCATGAAAGCAATGCCGCACCGAAGCAGCCTAGTCCAACAGTGATACTTGGAGAACTGTTGCTCTGTTTGGAGCCAGTGTGTGCTTTTGTGTTTCTTCGTGGACGCACAATGTTTCTGACCCCGGTTTTCCCTCCTTATCCACCTTTGGCCGTTTCTGGCAAACTGATTCCAGGGCCACTGCCACTAGACCCCAGAACTTGTCGAGAGGAGACACAAAAAACATGCTCTCTCAGGAGCCAACTTCGACACTGGAGCTTTGGAACTTAGCGGCTTTGCATCGAGATCCGCTGGGGAATTTCATCCAAAAACAGAGGTTGGCGCGGATTGGACACTGCCAAATCTCACCATGTTCGATGGAACTTGCACAAGCTTTCACCAGTCCGGTGAAGGCTTTGGGCCTCTGATGGTCATGTTCGATTTGTTGACTCAACACCTACTGAATCCCAGACACTACACTCAATCCCAGACACTATCAGACACTTCCAATATTTGCATACAGCAAGGGGGGTGCATACCTTCAGCAGGGGGGCTTCAATGATCATTTGGCATCCAGTCCAGCCTTACTCAGCATATGACAAGCGCGCCTTCGCCCGTTGTGAGGTTCGCCTTTGGAGTTTGTTGCTCTTTCATCGTTCCCTTCTGGAGCTGCTACGCGGTCCACCTGCGCGACCAACCAGCTGCAGCGTGGCCTTCACGGCGGGGTGTTGCTGGTGAAGTCGTACACTGCTGGCTGTTGTGCATGTTTTTGCCAAGAAACTGAAACAGCTAGTTCTCCCTTCCAATCATATGGCTGTGCAAAACGCAGAGCAAACGAGGTTGACCGAAACCAGGAAGCTCTTCTGTTCATTTTGGGTCGTCAACCAAGGTCCCCCGGTTCTGACCCACGGCCTTACTGGGCGATGGTTTCAGATATGTTATGTTTGTTGTTTTTTTTTCCAGTCTCTACTTGCATTACTTGAGATGATTGAACGATAGTGAGCCCACTGACTAGTATGTGTTAAAGTCACGTGAAACCACCGAACACGGTCGTCGTTGTTGTTGTTAATTCATCAACCACACTCTTGGACATGATCCTGCAAAACCCGAGATCCAGAAGAATGAGGGAGTCACCGGTGTAGGTGGATGGTGAAGCAACCAGACCTGCCTGCTTACTGGGAGCCAGGAGCTATGCAGCTACGTGGTCTTACCCCAAATGGCAGTTTGGAGACTCAACTATGGGGAGACACAGTGGTTTCTTTGGACCTGGGATTGCTTGATACACTTGATGCTTGAATCTGGCAAAACCCTGGATGCTTGAAACTCTAGTAGGCATACAGGGATAATCTCTATATCAGGAGCAGGAATTTGGAGATTAGATCCGTGCTGGACTCTCTGAGGAATCTAATTAGCAATTCCAATCTAACCGAATCTAACCCAGCAGTTATAGTGCTGGCATGTCCACCTGGCCAACAGCTTCTCTAAGCTTCTGGTACTTTGGGGGTGGCACATGGATAATGACCCCTGGTTGGCTTTATGTCATTAAAGGCATCCCTCGAGACAAACAATATATGAACCGGTGCAACGAAGCAGTGGATCCTCATTTGAAGACGAATGTCACATCATTTCACGGGGTGTTCGGGTGCCTTTTGAGTAATCTCATCACCACGGCTTGGAGGGCACTGTGCAGTGGATTTGAATCATTGTAAAGACTCAACAAGTCAGCACATGGCCCGTTTCTCCCCTTTGTCAGAAAAAAAACACACATGGAAGACACCGTCCTGGCCCAGTCGCCCACATCGATCCCAGGTCCAGCCGGCCCGGTCGCGCGACTGGGGTCTGTCCGACCGTCCGCGCTTTCGTCTGAGGCTCCGCAGGGTCGCGTGAGCTCGGCGCTCGCGACGCTCTCCGTCGAGCTCTTCACTGCTTGGATCGACTGACCTTTGGTCGCTCCGATTCGGGATCGTATAAGGTTGGGATGGGATGGGAAGTCATGTTCTCCTCAAAAAAGGAGGTGCAGCGGGTGGAAAGATGAGATCTCAGTTGTTTTGGGGATGAGACAGACATGGTCAATCAAAATCTTTGGATTTGAGATTGCATCAGCCAGAGGCCTTAGCCAGGGGACGCCTGTTCTTCCGCCCAGGTGTCTTCATCATCAGCCCCTGGTTGATGCGGGTGATCTTTTTCTCCTGGCATGCTGCTTGGTGGTCAAGAACGTGTCTTTGAATGGCTGTGGGATGGTCCAAACACGTCCCCCAATGAAGATGACTTGGGGGGGGATGTTGAGACCTCACCTGAGCAGCCTGAGTCTCCAGCCGGTGTAGGCCTGCACGAATCCAGCATGTTCAAGACCAGCGGAGCAGAGAGAATTCGATGCAGTAAGACTTCTTGTTCCATACCAGCACCCTCCAACAGGTCACCACCTGCGACTTTTAAGTCTGCAAAAGCCACCAGAGGAGACCTGTTGGAGGGACTGGTAGAGAAATCCTTGTGAATGGAAGAGCCCGAGTTTTTTAGATGACCTTCAACTGACTCTTGCAGAAGACAATGTTCCACTTTGGCAAGAAGGAACACGTCCAGGATGAAAGCAGTAGTATATGGTCCAACAGCAGCGCTGGTCATACGTAGTTTTAGAGTACACAAGTGCACCAAAAAGGACCATTTCTGGGGATGTGAAAGCCACCTCAGCTCAACTGCATGCCATCTACCATCCTATGCGTCCTTTCCATTTGTGCAGGCAGGCTGTGATGCTGTTGTGTGGGTGTTGAAATGTTGGTATCAACTGCCCGAGGCTTACGACAAGAGAAGCTGATTGATGAAAGCGAGCTGAGGCTAGCTGCTGGGAGTTCTCCTACTTTGCTCGAAGCCCCAGCTTGCCTGGAATGTGATGGATGGTTTCCCATGGGTAACAAACTTGCTAACTGGTGACCAGCATTTTAAAGCACGGACAGATGTGAGTCATGAGTGATCTCCAATCAAAGATTTCCGTAAGGAGACTTCCGAGTTACTGTAAAAGTAAAAGTGTGCTTGTGACTTAAAATTTAGTTACTATATATAGACTATAGACATTGCTGGTCTTTCGATGATTTCCTGGCTAATCATGAGTAAAAACACGGTGACACGGCTTTTCACAACCGTGCGTTCGTGATCGCAGGTTGCACCTCGCCTGCGTTATGTGCGAGGGACGACGAAAAGTTCCATCCACTCATTTTTCTCCTTCGAGTGCTTCAAGCGGTTTCATGCTCTGGAATTATGCCGATAGATCCATTGGAAGATTCTCTCCCAGATCTTCCCGTTCAGGGTTTCACCCTGACGTGTCTTCATTTGCGTCCGCAAAAACTTTTTCAAATGGTGCCAACATCTGTCAATCTGCTGCGTACCAGCGAGGCGACAACGCTGTGCAACCCTCACAGGCTTGCTCTCGCTTTTGGAATGGACAACAGATTACATATCGTGAAATCGATGACAATGTTCTCAGCATGACATCCAGGTCCTCATTCCATCACGTTAACCCCCGCACCCCCCGCACCCCATTTTAACCACACGACTAATCGATGACAATGTTATGAAACCAATGACAGTGTTATGAAATCGACCATTACATATCATGAAATCGATGAATGGAAGCAGAGATAGCCCAAAACGTGGGCCGGTAACGAAGCCGACAGCATATACATGTCAATGTACAAGAAACAGCAAAAATTTAAACGCCTCCACGGTTGATCTGCAGACTTTATGCAGGTTGATTGGTTCATAGCTTGATGACTGGATTTCACAGGTTTTCTTTGAGAAGTTTGGCCATGTCTTCGAGTGTAGCTCTGTGAGCAAGCTCAAACGACTTACATTTGATTTCAGATCATGGCTATGGCTCATCTTGGACAAAGCAAACAAGTTAACATAAAACGATAAACTCCATTAACTCCATGCTCATTGTTTTTAGATGGAGTCCTGTCCATGATCTTAGGGACTATATGTTTGAATATGTTTTGTGTTTATTGGTTTCATGTCCTGAAACCGAAACCCTTGGTGTTGTTGTTTTGTTTTTCAGGATGTGAGTCTCTAAAAAATGCAAAAACACTGTCGCTCTAAGTCTGGAAAAAGAAAGGATGTGATTGCTTGTCTCAAGAAAGCTCACCCCAAAGATGCCAAGCTGTTCTCCCCAAGATCCATTCAGTTTTGCTCCACGGCGAGGTGTAGACTCTTCAACTCAGTCCTTGGCCATGTAGACCAACCTAGACCAACTAAGGCCTTGGGCAGCCTTTGGTTGGGCATCTTCTTCAGCAGTCTGTTGGCCTCAGCAGTCCTCTTCTTCTGCATCACGGTGACCCGGTAAAACCATCGCTGCTTCCAGCATCGAAAGCGCGTGGGAAAAACCCGCCGGGAGCGGTTTCGCCGGTGGTGGGGCATTGGAGAAATTGGGGCTTCCAGGGAACCAAATCTGGGATGGAAGGGAACACAGGCAACGAAGAACCCAACAGGTGAAGAAACAAGGCAGACTTTGGATTCGAGGTGCGGAGTATATCCCCAATTGTTTTCTCTACTAGAACAATTCCAGGAGAAAGACAATGATCGTTGTTGTTGTAAAATATGATGTCAACTTGTAGAGCTTTGTTGACATCAACTGCAAAGCTGAAACTGTAGAACTTCAGCATCACCTGCGGGGTGCGTGACATGTTGAACCGGTGGCCCCGGCTCTTGGCGTCGGCTCACCACCTGCGAGGAGCCATGGCGTCGCGTCCTGGTGAAACTCCTGGCTGTCGCGTCGCGTCTCCGTGTCAAAACGTGCCAGCCTGGTGAGCGTCGGGTCACTACGTAGCGCGTCTCACAGTAGGCATGTGGAAGCATCGTTGTACGCGTAATTAGTTTGGTTCATGCATCGTGGTTTGTCGTTGTTGGATGTTGGACACATGATGGTTCATGATGCTTCAACGGGGGATGCCCCGCCTGTGTGTTGATAGCAGGACGTGTTTCCCCATGTTTCCCCACCAGATGAGATCAAAATCAAGTGTGCGCAAAGTAAGTCTGCAACTGACACCAAGATGACGAAATTCGAGACTACACAGAAGAGCCAATCTGTTGCACACTTGCCGCTAGAGCCAAAATATGTTGGACAATTGGCACTAATTGGGTCAGTACTTTGAACCCCACAACCATGAGAAGATCCGTGATTTTTCTTGGCGGGTAGACCGACTTGAGTGCACCCCTCCAATCCAATCCACATACTTCCAGCCTGATTGATTGTTTGTCATGAAAGCATCACACCTCGCAGGTGCTTGGTCTGGTGAACACGCTCCCCAGACTGGCAGAAATCCGCTGCTTCCAAAAGTGCAGCCAGCTGCATCCGGCCTGGTGTAATCCAAGTGAGAAATGTTTGCTTATGCTCTTAATAGAGCTACCTTCCCTCCAACTGGTGATGTATACAACAAATTATACTACTGTACATTGCTGATGTTTGGTGAGCATATGTCAAGTATGTGTGTGTATATTATATATATATGTATGCACGGGTGCAAGGACCCAAGCAAAGACACATGATGTGCCATTTGGGCAGTTCTTTTATATTTGGTAGAACAGGCGTCAGTAGAACGGCGCCTTTGTCCAAAGATTTATGGTTGATGAGCAACCGATATTGATCGGAGGGTTGCGGTCAGTTAGGTTTGGCAGACACCCAGACTCTGGGTTTCGAGATCGAGTCACGGTCACTCCCGAAACCGAAGGAGCCACACGGTGTGCCCAGTTGCCACCTTCAGGTGAGCTTCCACCCATCAGACATGAAACACCATGACCATACAGGTCTCTTGATTCATGTGGGCACATCTCGTGAAGTCTCGCTGTTCTGCAGCCATGTGTCCCGCCCGCCCGTGTCGCGTATGATGGGGGGCCATGTGAGGGTCACTCAGAGGGGCCGAACTCGGGGGGAATGATCTGGCGCCGGGCACATGGTTTACCATCAACTGGCTGGTTGGTTCGGAGGGAAGCCGAAGTCGAGGGACGCGAGCGTTTTCACAGTGAGTCTTCTGCGGTTTTGTCCCGAACGAAGTTGCTGGTCGTTTGCACTGCTTGTGAAGAAAAAAGGCCATGAAAAAGAGAAGGGACAGTGGATGACCCACTGTCTTGTTGTATCCCCCCAGAACCACTTGAAGTGTCTTGAAGCGAAATTCGACTCGCTGGCTTGGGGGATCTCCATACGGCCATACGGCTTCTGACGAAAGTGAATACAAAAGGCATGGAAAAGCTTCAATGTGATCAGTTCCGATGTCAGATTCTTTTTACCAAATACAACAGACTTTATGTATAAAAGGTATAAACGGTTGTAAGGTTGGAGTTGGAGGGTGATCAAGCCTTTTCAGCGTCCATCCACGTTTTTGAACTCCCGTGTCGGTCACCCAAAAACGACGGGACATGGATGGGACATCGATATCGAATGATATCCTCTTCGAATCAAATCGAAACTCAAATCATCCCTAACCCTCCACCCCCAGACCTTCACCCACATCGTTCAGACGACCCGGTCCTGAACGGTCCAGGTCCTCGGTGTATGGCCCTGAGCTGCTCAAGGACGAACGGTTTGTCTTTGGGGCGATGAAAAAAACACGTGCGTGGCGGTGGAGTGGAAGCTTGTGGGGGTGTCTTCTTTCGTGTCGTTTCAGGTTTCGGCTTTTGGTTTCAGTAAGATTTGGGGGATCCCTGAAATGCGAAATTGGCTTTCGCGTGCCTTTGATCAGCAAGAAGCAAGAAGGGCAAAGAGAGTTTGCTGACGTATGTCACAATGCATTATATAAAAACTCCCACGCTACCAGAAATACAAGGCTTACTTCCCAAAAATAGTGGAACACCTGTGGTTCACCGCCCCGATTGCCATTTCTTGGGTGGCTGGCAGAGGACCCCACCGTGGCTGATGACGTGGATGTGTCCTTGGGCCGGAAGAAGACAGCCGGTGGCGAGGCGGAGAAGTACGGGACGTGAGACAGATAATTTAATAGCTTCTTGTTACATCTTGTTACTACTAGTAAGGCACTTGTTACTAGAAGCGTGGCACTTGTTACTAGTAGCTTAAGAATGATAAAGATATACTGCTCCGTTGGACTATATCGAAAAGGGTCTTTAGGTGACCCGAGCTCAGGAATGTCCTTTACTTTGGTGGTGCAACATATCGTCGAACGGGACTTCGAACGGGCTTCGGACTGGGTACTGAGATTGACTTGGCCGTCGGAGATGTGACCAACTAGGAAGGGTGGCCGAAATCTACTCCTGGATGGAACCTCAACATCTATGGCACTATGGAGATACACATTCATCCTGATCATATACGAGGCCACCAGGCCACCAAAAAAACAGTTAAAAAAGCCAGAAGAGAACCAAGTTTCGGGGTACGTTTGAAGGTCGTATGATGTGCACACGTATGGGGTGTGTGATTCCAGGGTGATCAGTACTCTATAGCATCCATGTCCCAATTGCCGTCGACTGGGAATCGCCGGCTTTTGTTTCTTCTTCTCATGGATTGAAGCTTTCCATATTTGTTGGGCGGGCTTGAGCATCCAGGTTGATTTGGTGCTTCATCCGAACTACTAGATGTGCTGTGGTAGTTCTCCGCTAGTATCCTGTATTATTGCTGGAGTCTGTATGTTATGTCGGAGTGTGTACTGTAGATTGTGAAATCCAAGTTTGGCTTGAACTTGCCCGATGTATTTGATAGGTGTGGGCCATGGCAAGAGAGTGACTACTGTTTGGTGGAGTTGTTCTTGATGGGGGACTCTAGTGGGGAAGCACTTGACCATTTCCCATAGATGTCTAAGTTTTAGTGAGCTTCAAGGCTCGTATACAGAAGCACTTGCACAAACGGTTGCTGCTTGACACCTTTCCATCCCACGGCTGTCAGGAATTCGAGACGGATCATGCTGGGGCCCTAGTGGTCGCCGCTGCGGCCCCTTGGGTCGTCCACTGTCGGTTGATGGATTGTTGGGCACCGACCTGGGGGTTTTGCTTTTTGAGTGGTTGGTTTATGTTGGTTGGCTACAAAGTGGCAATTCTTTTCTTTGGATACTTGTAGCCTGATGTTATATATTTACATCTAGGTAGAGTTTACAACGAGGTGTACCTACTGCTGTGATGGCCCTGGTTGTAAACTCTACCTAAATGTGAACAATAATCAGGCTACAGGCTACAAGTATCCAAAGACCCCAGACTGACCCGAGTCAATAGCATGAACCCATATATGAAGCCCATTGAGAGTCGAGCTGAAGCACTTGGGTTTGGAGAGCAGTACCAACATGGAGGGTACAATCATGGGCTCCAGGGTAAAAGACTTGATGATGGTACGGAACTCTGACTTCCAGTAGGTCACTGGGTTTCAACCTGCAAGTGACTGTTCAGTTGATGTGGCTTGACTTCATACACGTGGATACTACGTGGAGACGTGGGCCAGGGCCTCCTGACGGAGTGCCACAGGACACACATAGAAACCTGTCCAAGCAATCAATGTAGTTTTGCTTTGGCACCTCGTCCAGGCTAATTTACCTTTTGCCACTGAGATTGTCATTTAGTTTTCCTCTCTTCAAGCCTTGATGGTATCGAGGACCCTACAACGATGGGGTCACCGTTTGTCTTCCACGCGCGGCCAACAGCGTCGAGGATCGCGCCAAGCGCATCCGCAGAGAAAGAAGAGCTGCCAAGGTGAGGGGGGCCAAGTGGGGGAGGCAAAGGGGGAGTTTGTGGCTGTGAATGCCAGACTTTTGAATAGATTCAGATCGAGGATGAATCTCGAAATGGTCATAAAATTCCGATCAAAGAATAAAGAATGGTACCCTGCCTCATTTGAAGGTTCTTGTCCCGCTTTTTGTTGTGCCCTGGAAGTCCTGCTGTGTTGTCGAAGCCCTAAAGTCACAGTCAATTTCATGCTGCTCTTTAAGCCTTGCTTTGGTGCACCAGGAGTCAATAGAATAGCCCTAAAGTCACAGTCACGGTCAATAGACGGAGCTCCCAAAAAACTTGCTTTGGTGCACCAGGAAAGCCAGATTGAGTGCAACGGATCTCGTCAAAGAGTCGGTGACAGAGACCATAGTTTATATTTATATTTATACACCAGCACCACCCAAAGGGTGGTTGATAGACCCCCCTTGACTATCGATGTTTTTTCCAATTTTTTCCAATAACCACCCAAACTGGGTGCTGGTACATATTTACCATTTATCTCCGTCTTCTTTGCAGAGGAACTCCGTGTGTGTCCTTTTCTTCCCACGAAACTTCTCATCCGGATCTGGATGCGGTTCGCTTGTCCAGATCCGAGGACGCCACCAACGCGGGAGAGTTGGGGTGGAACGGAACCGAGTGCGTGAAGGTAGACCCCCAAATAGATAGAAAATAAGTCGATCTCCACCTCAAATGGTCTTGGACACCGTGCCACTATCTATTTGGGGATCACTATAATATGCATATATATTTATATTACATATGCGTATGGTGTCTTTCGTTTTGGTGGTCCAGGAGAAGGAGAAGGATGATCAGCAGAAGCATGACATGAACAAGGCTTGTGGCCTGCCCTGTTTGAGGATTCTTGGTTCTTGTTTTGGTTTGGTGGGAGCATGCGAGCAAGGCATTGAACTGAGCTTGGTTGGATTCAAGTTGACCGAGTAAGCAGGAAAACCATGAAAACCTACCTGACTGTCCACCACCAGCTCGGTCAAAAGATATGTTTCAATGTTCATGGGTGTGGGCGCCAGAACCCCCCTAACTCACCCATCCATCAAAACGTGTTGTATTTTGGTGCATGATACTTTTCGCTCCGTAACATGGATAGCAGCATAATGGCCAAGAAGAAGGGCTGGGACAGGGCATGTTTTTCTGACGTTACTGCTGTTTGTTCGGAGCATCTCGCAGAACCTGAAAAGGGATGAAAGCGGTTGATTCATGCAAGTGAGTCGACATGGGGACACCGAACTCAGTTCAACAGCAAGTGGTGGGACTTCGAGGCTTCTTTTGATGTATGACCACAGGTCATCTCCTTCGTTTCGATGTGCCTCAAGAAGATGATAGGACTCAACCAGCTTGAGTCTAGTGTTCCTACGTGGGCCTGTTGCCAGTGGTTTGGATGGTACAGCCAGTTTGGTTTGCGCGCATCACCAGCTCAATTCGTTTCTGGCTTTGTGAATCCAGCTGACCAGTGATTCCCACAATGTCCAATTAGACTCGGTACACTCAGTCAGGCTTACGACCTGAGCTGGTCGGCTCCACGACCTTCTTGGCCGTCAGCGTCCGCCGAAGACCGCCCGAAGCGGCGGAGAGAATGCCGGCGAAGCTCGGTGAGGCCATCAGCGCTTTGCTTGGTGGTGGCAGCTCAGGAAAGAAACTGGACTTCTCGAGCCTGGAGGCTCAGAATGGCCGACCGATAGCTGGGTGGTTCTCCAGGCACTAGGTCACTAGGTATACTATGCAAAACAATATTGCATATATACAATTATATATATATATATCCCTAGGGATCCAACTACCTTCTCAGAAGGTACTTGGACCCTTCAAACCTACACAACAGAGTTTATAATGCAATAATTGTGTATATACCCTGTATACCTGGGCATGTCGTCGCACAAGGATCGCTAAGTCATCTACGTCTGCGTGACCGTCCTGAGTACCGTCAGAGTCGATCATCGAGACGGATGGTTTCCGCGTCGGACGAAAGGCCGCCCACAGCTGAAGACTGACAGATGCAGATGATGGACATCCTAGTCCTAGTAAGTTGGCGTTGTCCTTGCACCAGACAATTGAGGCCTTAGCATTCCATGAAAGCATTGGAGTTCGCATGATGAATTCTTCAAAGCTGGTCACTCTTCTGGGAAGCAGACAACGAATGGTACTCGACTTGAGCGGAAAAGGTGGAGAAGGACGCCACATCAGCCCTGGTCGAGGCTCCCTCCAGAGGCATCGAGAGAGGTGGAAAAACCTAAAGGCTGCTAACCAGGAAAAAAGTCAACTGTGGTTAACACATCACTAATCTTCATCACCCCGTAAAGAACGCTTGCTGAAGACCATGAACTGTGCCATTCCGGTGCAGCCGCGCTGCGATCTAGCTCCTACCCGGTCCCAAATCCTTGCAAATGGGTTTGCACCCGAGGCGCCAACTTCCAGACCTTTGGGCCCTCGGGCCCCAGTGGACCATCGGTTTGGGGCGCCCAGGGCAGCGCTGGGGTTTGGTGCGGGGGTCACTGAAACAGGGAGCAGAGCTGAGCATGACGGGAGCTTGGTGGTGGAAGTTGAACTCAACTTGAAGTTGTTACAACTGTCATACACTGTCACACTGGCTCAAGTCCACAAAAAAGGGCTCAAGTCCACAAATCTGGTCCATCCTCCAGGCACACTGCAGGGCCCTTAGGACGGACTAGGACCAGGTGGGCCAAGTCTCCAGGGAGTAGAGGAAAACAGTCTTCAATGGGCCATGCCATCCACTTTCATACTTGTTTGAGGAGTGTGGACCCGACTCTACATGTCATGAATGGAGACCTGGCTTCTCTCGAACTACGTTAAACAGAATTTTTTCTTGGCTTCCGGTTCACCAGGAAGTATATGCCACTTTTATTGGCCTCTTCTACCTTTTTTTGCACTCACAGCAGGCTTCTTCTCGCTCACGGGTGTTCGAAATAAAGGGACCGTGAGTCTGAACTAGGGAGTCTACGGAGCAGTTGATACAATTATAACGGGCTTTACCGAGCAATTATGTGGTATTCTGCGTGTGATACCTTTCATAGCACTTGGATTGTTTCACTATGTCACTATGTTTTACTAGAGACTACAACACCAGGTCAACCATTCTTTCAATTTGTTTGAAGGCTAGGGGTATGGGTTGCCCCTTTGCTAGATGCAAAGACTAATAATTTGAAGCAAACAAGGTGAACCAATCCCTTGGCACAAGAGCCTCATGGTCGTCGCAACAAGTAGACTATAGAATTTTACTTCACTGTCACAGTCCAGGAATCTAATTGTTATCACCTGGACCCCACAACCAGGTTCCATCAGATTCGTCATTCACATTCACCACCTAGATCTGAAATGCTGATGTTTTGCACCTGTAGCGGGGTCCATGACCCCTTTCTTTTGAATGGTTCCAACAAATTTCCAGCTGTGCATTGTGCATCTGCGAAAGATGCACAAAAGTGTTGTTTGTTCGTTAATCCTACGCCCACACAAAACCTAGCTAGGACGTTCAAGTCCTAAAGGATGTTAGAAGCTGATTCCTGTTGAATCGGTGCTTTGTCAACGTGACGTCAGGTGGGTCCTGCAGTGCCGGGCCCTACCATGCCTGGCCCTACAGTGCCTGGCCCTACAGTGCCGGGCCCTACCGTGCCGGGCCCCGTCAGTGAGGCTTCCGGGAGTGTGGTTGGTTGCTTACGACTCGTGGGAGCCCCTCGTCGTTGCGTTTTGAAAGGCCTCAGCGGATTTTGAAGTTGAATATATATGTTTTTACTGGTGATAGCAACAAGGCCCTCGCGAGCAACCAACTGCTAGGTAGCTTTCGTTCAGCTTTCTGAGTTTGGTTTGAGGACCATCAACGAGCAAGACCTCTCTTAAACCTCGCTCGTCCTGTTCGAAGGCAACTTGATCAATCCGGCCAGCCTGGCTGGCTCTTTAGATTAAACATGAAGAAGAACCCTTCTGCTCTAAGAAGAACTGGATGTGAAAGATCCACAGAGGAGTCCGGTCACGAAATCGCCAGAAGGATCCGCTCCTTTCACCTGGAATTCCTGCATGGCCCAACACTCCGAAGGGATCCATCTCGCTTGCACTACCTTCATCTCTGAGTGCAGCTCCTTGTGGCCAGGCTGGGCCTTCAAGCCCTCCAAAGCCAGGCTGAAATCCGTCGTTTTAGACGCTTGAGATGATTGATCATGATGTATTACGTTCGTCCTCCAAATGTTGTGCTCCTTGAGACGATTGATCATGATGTATTCAAGATGTCTGACGATATCCGGAGTCCGTAAGGCGAGCCTGAAAGCATGCAGTGACAAAAATAGAGAATACCTAGAGACTCCAAATGCACCAAAACTTCTGCCACCTCAGCAAAAAGCGCCTTTACCCGTAATTTGCCCTGAAAAAGGGCATTCGGCGTAATTTGCTAAAACCAAGATAGACTCGGCGTTTTTTGTTTTTGAGGTTCTTGAACATATTGATTGGTTGATTAGATGCAGAACCAATCCGGGTTGTGGTGATTCATGATAACTCGGCTCGACAATCCTCTAGGGATCAAATACCTGCTGAACCGGGCATTCTTGAGGTGCGCCCTGGCTGTTCACGCCCAGTGTTTTTCTTCAGTGTGTAGTTCCTAACTCTTGCCAAGCATTGTTGGCTTAGGGATTCATTGTAAACACTCAAATCCAGCCATGGATCCGATCAAGGAAACCGTTTATTAAAATTATAGAATAATAGAGAAGGCCTGGCAGAAATGCCAAATGGTTTCTGTGGCCCGACGCAACCCTCTTCCCTGATTTCCTATTTTTGCAGTGGCACAAAGCTGTTGTTGAACATATTTGGTGAATGGAGAGATTTGATTCCATCACCAAGGTGAAAGTTAGAGGACTGTGCATGGACCATGCATAATTCAACATAAACTCACCGTGAACCAACTGGGCACCCTTGCGTGAATCGTGGCAGTCAAGTTGTTCATAGTTTTCAAAAGTTTTGTCATCCCTAGATCTCGGCGTAATTGCCCGATAATTCGGCGTAAATCTCCGATAATTCGGCGTAATTGCCCGACAATTCGGCGCAATTGTCCGTAACCATGTTTTTGCTTAGTTGGGGTTTCCTATATATAAGAATCAACATCTTGGATGGCTGCACTGGAAAGATCTTTTTGTTGGCCCAATTGTGAGTTGCAGCTGTTCTACAACCACCCTTGTCAAGGGAGGTTGGATCATGAAAGGGCAAAGCGGCAAAGCATCGTTTGGAGAGTGATCCGGAGAAGCAAAGACAGAACTTTGCTTGCCTGGATTGGCCTTTCAATAAAACCGTAGGGGAAATATCAAGAAGGTCTGGAAGACAAGGCATGAACTTAGGCAAACATTGTTGGATCTTTTAAGTGTGTTCTTTGTAAGCACTCCCAAACTGTGGATTAACTCTCATCTGTGCCGTGCAAGGATTCCAAGGTATCCAAACTGTGGATGCCAATCCCTTGGTCCTCATATGTAAGCCCAAGCTGTGGATGGTCACCCTGTAGTTTGGTTTGGGAAAGGGGCGGGGAAGGGCTTGGTAAGACTGGCAAGATCTGGCAAGTGTTGGTTTGAGAATCTAGCAACTGAAAACCATTGAAGTCGGCAGTTTTCATATTGCTCGGCGTTATTTTTTGGATTCGGCGCTTTTCGATGAATTTGGCTGAAATCAGGGCACAATGGTGTCTCGGCAAAAATTTTTGCCAACGGTTCCTCTAGGTATATTCCAAGACTTGAACTCTGTTGGAGACTGCTCAAAAGTTCCTGCGCTGGCACTGCACTCTATCTTCATCCCACCCTCGCTTGGGACCTGACACCGAGTTACGCAGGGATGTTGTGTAAAAGAACTGTTTCACCTTTTGGTATTGGATTCTCTCGGGCCGGTTGACCACATGTGCGGCTCACGACCGCCCGACCTTCCGACCCAGGGCCACAGGGACCACGGCTTCCGCAAGGGCCTTCACGACCGCCCAAGCCAGAGGATCGCTCTCGTGCGGACCGGTGGTTCTTAGGGCCAACGGGAGACGTTCGGTGGTCGCGAAAGCGCGATCCGAGCTCCGAAGACCGCGTTGGTTTGGTGTTGGGATGTGTTGGGAAGAAAGCCACCCGATTCGAAGGGTGACGGGAGAGGAAGATGAGGAAGACTGAGAGGAAGACGATGGGCAAGCACCCTTCGAGGGTGCGAACTGTTGGACAAAAGTGCCCAAGGGTGGTCATTTGACTGAGGCAATGAAGAATAATAGAATATATATATATATATACATATCCTTTTCACAGTCAGTCTCAGACGTCTCAAACTTGCGGCTCTACCTTTTCAGGTCTTCTGCAGCGGGAGAGTCATCAGTGTTTTTTTGGACAGCGCCCGCGCAGTCTGTTGTAGGAGCCACAAGGGCCTCTACCCCCTGAGTTTGGAGCCTGGTTTTTGGCAGATCGGGAATGAAGAACCCTGCCCAACTGGGCTGGGATTTAGGGATGTGGCAGTTTGAAGAGAGAATTGCAATGTGTTCTTTGAGGTTGCAAACTGAGAGAACAAGTGTTCAAGTTTGGTTGGAAACTGGTCTGATGAAAGGTTTAGTACTCGTCAGGAGAGCTGACAAGACTCAACAAGGTTTCTGGAAGTTCATTATAGATTGAGCAACTTCATCGCAGCAGCACACATGACGACCATCAGATAATGCCACTATAAACGAGAGGTATATTTCATGATCTGTACATATTGATTTTGAGGATAGTTTAAATTCCGATGCTTGATGAGTCAACGAGATAGATAGATCGATCGATCGATAGATAGCTAGGTATATAGGTAGGTGGGTGGATGGATCGAGCGATGGATGGATGGATGGGATGGGATGGGATGGGATGGGATTGGATGGGATGGGATTGGATGGGATGGGATGGGAGGGATGGATGGATGGATAGAGCTCCCTGAAACTATGAGGCGTGATGCTTCCTCCAATGCTTTGGACCAACGAGCCCAACAGGGGATTGTCGCATGAAATCAAGACCCAAAGAAGGCCTGATGACCCACCGAAGCCTGCGATTCTCCCGCCTTGTTTGCAATTGAAGACATGCAAAGCACCCCTATGTACACCAAACATACTATTTGGTGGAGACAACTACAGTGGATGGTAGAACATCTATTATATAGGGTATGTTTGGGAGCAGACAAAGATAATCGAATTTCATAGCCTGACATAGCGACCTTCCTCCTGCCGATTGTGGCAGATTCCACCAAGGCCAGAAAAAACTGAGAAAAAGGAGAAAGTGCTGTGGGGGAAGCTTAGAAAGCGAGCGTTTGCCGTGGGGATGGCATATACCTCTCAATTTGGGGTTCGATCTCTTTAACTAGAGGTGCTTTGCAGGTGCAGGTATGGGTCAAACATGGTCAAACTACTGCCCAACACCAAAGCAAAGATCGATGGTTTGTAGTAGTTTAGCTGTTTTTTTCAAACAGACGATGATGATTTTGAGGTGCGACCTTCCACTGATTGTAGTTCTTGAGCTGCACCAGTCAGACCATATCGCCTCACAAGAACTACAAGCCAACAGCACTAACTCCAGCTTTGTCTTAAATGCATATACTCTGTTTGTATCTTCTCATATCACATCATGGGAACTTGGTCCAACTGCTTGGACCTCTGTGGAACGTGGGGCCATCTTGGCCAACATGGGACTGGTAGGAGACGCACATCTCAAAAACAGGCCAGCAAGGAACATACCCTGAAGATGTTTGATAGGATAACATATCATATATATATAGAGATGTTGGGTCAGGTCTGTCCTATTACCTGTAACAGTCAGTAAACAGTTATCTATGATTATATATATATATATGGGTTTGTATTTTTTTGGTGTGTACTTCCTGATGTAGTGGTTGGAAGTTTGACTTGAGCGATTCATACCCTCGAAAAGGTACATGTAAGAACCAGGTGTTCAGGTGAAGTTGTTGGTTTTGTCTTTGTGCCTTGTAGATGTCCATGAGCCAATCGTGCATGACGTTTGCAATTGTGTGATCCATGGGCACTCAATTTGGCCAAAGCTGTTTGTCTTCTTGTGGGAAGAGCAAAGGCTCACATCCCAGGGGTACTCATAATGTTCCCATGTGCTCTCCCTTGGGAAGAAGAGCCAAAGGACCGCCTGCCTTCTTTTGCAGAATCTAATGGCCATACGAATCACACCATTCATGCCCGATTCATACACGAATCACGCACCTCCACACAGTCTCCCACCCATCCCACATCCTGGTTGTTATGGTGGGACCTGCAGAGGGTCACTGGAGTCTTTGGTGGAAGAGTGCATTTACCTAGTCTGCCCAGCGTCCAACAGATGCTGCCTGCCTACTCCCTCACGGCTCAGAGTAGGCCCACTGCTGGAAGTCCAACTAATCCAATAATATACAACTTCAAAGCTGCGAATCATCTGCGAATCACACCCCCGAATCATACCACCTATTCAAACTTCCCGGCCCGACTACGGTAAAAGTATACACACCCATATACATATATATACTAGTTTTTTGAACAAGGCCTTTACATGCCTTTACTAACCATCATCATCCACTGGGCCCAGGTAATAGGATAGACTCTAGACTCTAGACCCAATATATATATATATATGTATATGACTTTTAAAATGTTCAGATCTTCAGGCCACTCAGGATGATTTACATGGCGAGGGTTTGTACTACACAGGATTCGTTGGCCTTGACTACTGTGTTGCTTGTCGCGCCCAAGATGAACTGCAAGACCTGGCTATGTAAGTGACATTTATATAAGACCGCATGCCACCAATACGGGTGTAGTGCCCCGCGAAGATGTTGTAACATAACATTTTTCATTGAAGATGACTGGTCCATATATTGTTGGAGCAGGGTTCTTACCAAACAATCCAACCCACACCGCTCGTCCTATCCGTCCAACCAGCCGAGCTCGCAGCGAGGTTGGGGCACATGGACATCATGAAGGAGCAAAAGCGGGGCGCCCGAGGAGCGTCCCATTCCCCCGGTGCGAACAAGGCGCGGTCGATCGACGCGTCTCCGAGCGCCGCCAGAGTGCGTTGCGACCGACGGTCAAAAGCCTCGTCCTTCGTCCGAGGCGCGTCTCCTGGGACGAGCTGAAAAACCGATTGGCCGAGGCGAACTGGAAGGAGGCGCTGCGTTTCTTTTTGTTTTTCAACGTCTTTGTTGAATGATTGAATGTACTTGTTGTGTTCAATATCTCCGCCCACCCACTAAACAGCACAGTTTGTGCTGTTTTTGTTTGAATAGAACCCTTTCGGATGTGAGCTTTTGTGGTTCAGAGTGGCAGATTTGTTGAGATTTGTAACCCTTTCCGGTGTGGTTTAATGATCCGGGCAGATGTGTGTGTGTGTGTGTGCGTGTGTTAACACCTGTTTCCAAGGTTTGTGCCTGGTAAGTCTGCCGTAGATTCCACTAGAAGGCTGTATGCTACTAGTAGCTTCTGGCCTTGCTACTAGGAACCAAACTAAAACTAAAACAGTGCGAGTCAAAAAAGAGGCAGGGGGTCGCTGGGGATTCGTGCAGTTAGCGACCAACGAAGACGCTGCACGTTTCCTGTGATATGAGTCGAGGACGCTCGACTCACGTACCTGCATGCATTTTTCCAAACTGTTCACAAGCTGTCCAATGCGTTGTTTCCTGCAGTAAACGGCTAATGCATTTCCCCACCTTGTTCAACATCTACAATTTCGCCGACTCCATCACCTTTCGGTTTGTGCTTCTTTCTGTTCTTCAAGTCAAGGGGGACTTCATTCTGATCCTAGCTCTTGCGAGCAACCATCTAAGTGTGTATCGCCACAGAGTCCCACTGAGAGCTGTGGTGTGATCCCCGTCGAGGGGCGCTGCATGTGCATAGACCCAGGTCGTGGGGGACCCACACGGATCACTTGTTTCATGCACTGGAACTTCACCTGATCCCTCCTGATTGCCGTTCTGCTTGATACCACTGAATCCATGCCGCAGGGCTCACTGAGACTACGATCCAGTCAGGATTTATTTGCACATGTGTCTAAGTATTCACCTGTACAGTTTCCATGGCTAGGCAACCACAGGCTGCTTTCCAGTTGCACGTGCTTTTCATGCTCTTGGGTTCTTTCTTTCTTTCTGTTGCTTTTCGTTTCTTGAGGCCTTTCTTTAGGTTTCAGGTGCCTTTCAGACAAGGGTGCGCCGGTCCAAATCGGCTTTACTTGAATGCCAAAGATGGCAATGCCTTCGGGCTACCCTATGCCACCCTCCCCCCTACCTCCCTGCCCCTGGCCTCTGTTGCTATCCCACCCGCTGTTTAGGGTAGCAGAAGGAAATCGCACTCAACACACTTGTGTGTTGGTGCCTTTCCTTCTGTTTCTCCTGTCCTACTCCTAGCTACCCGGGCGGTTTAAGACAAAAGTCCCGCTCGCTAACTACTTTCATTTAACTAAGTGGGCCTCGTCACTATACCTATCTTTCTTTCTTGCCCTCTTCGTGTGCTTTTGTTTTGTTTTCTTTGTTTGTCTTTCTAAGGCTTTTTAGGTGGCTATAGTAATCCTCCGGCGCGCCAATATCGGCGCTATGTGTACAAAGCTGTTGCACAAAAAATCGTTTCACGCAAGGGGTGCAGAGCGCCGATTGCGGCACAGTGTGTGTGTGTGTTAACACCTGTTTCCAAGGTTTGTGCCTGGTAAGTCTGCCGTAGATTCCACTAGAAGGCTGGATGCTACTAGCAGCTTCTGGCCTTGCTACTAGGAACCAAACTAAAACTAAAACAGCGCGAGTCAAAAAAGAGGCAGTGGGTCGCTGGGGATTCGTGCAGTCAGCGACCAACGAAGATGCTGCACGTTTCCTGTGATATGAGTCGAGGACGCTCGACTCACGTACCTGCATTTTTCCAAACTGGTCACAAGCTGTCCAATGCGTTGTTTCCTGCAGTAAAGGGCTAATGCATTTCCCCACCTTGTTCAACATCTACAATTTCGCCGACTCCATCACCTTTCGGTTTGTGCTGCTTTCCGTTCTTCAAGTCAAGGGGGACTTCATTCTGATCCTAGCTCTTGCGAGCAACCGTCTAAGTGTGCCCCCCTCTGTTTCAAAGAGGGTAAACTTGCTCACCGCCACAGCAGGGGGACGGGTCACCACCGATACTGCCCGTCCAACGAAGAGGGTATCGGCTGGTGCTGAAGCAGTGGAGGACGCTCCACTGGGTACCTGCATTGAACGCAATGACACCAATGGTCCACCCTGCCGCTGTTCGTTGGTTCCATGGCTTTTCTTCACGATACTTCCCCCAAACCCTGGGTTCTGCCGCTGCGCCGCGCCGTTCTTTTCGCCACCGCTGATTTCTGCAGTCACGCACAAACAACTTGTTCAACCTTTCAAGTGAACTGACTTTCTCGCCATGCCGTTCCCTCATTCCTTTCGGCCTGGGAATTGAGTCAACTGAAAACCCATTGTCAAAGTGTGTGCTGCTGTGCCGTCCCACGTGGGTGCACAGTGTGATCCCCGTCACTGGGGCGCTGATTTCATGCCGGACTGCCACTATAACTGACGTTTCTGCTTTCTGCACTCGTTGGATTATCTTAACTGATTTTCGTTTCACCACTGTATTCTCAAAATCTACGCCGCCGGGCTTCACGGATGTGCGACTGAATTGTGACGGCTTTGCGACGGAATTTTCATTTCGCTGCTAGCTTTCAATCTCAGGATTGTGAAGAGTTTCTTTCCACATTTCACGTCATACGACAATAAGGTGCTTACTTTTGAACAGTTTTGCCAGCCACTTGCATGTCGTTTGGGACACGCAGCAATAGACTGCCAGAGATTTTTGAAGTCCAAAAAAGCCGCCACCATCGCCACCTGCGCCGAATCGGCCTCGTGTCTGTGTGCCCCCCTCTGTTTCTAAGAGGTTAAACTTGCTCACCACCACAGCAGGGGGACGTGTCACCACCGATACTGCTCGTCCAACGAAGAGGGTATCGGCTGGTGCTGAAGCAGTGGAGGACGCTCCACTGTGTACCTGCATTGAACGCAATGACACCAATGGTCCACCCTGCCGCTGTTCGTTGGTTCCATGGTTTTTCGTCACGATACTTCCCCCAAACCCTGGGTTCTGCCGCTGCGCCGCGCCCTTCTTTTCGCCACTGCTGATTTCTGCAGTCATGCACAAACAACTTGTTCAACCTTTTAAGTGAACTGACTTTCTCGCCATGCCGTTCCCTCATTCCTATCCCGCCGTCGAGCTAATCCAGCCACAGGGCTCGACCGTTGTGCGCCCGAGAGGGCACATCACAAACAGTAGTAGTAGTAGTAGCAGCAGCAGTAGTAGTAGTAGTAGCAGGAGTAGTAGTAGTAGTAGTAGGAGTAGTAGTAGTAGTAGCAGTAGCAGTAGTAGTAGCAGTAGTAGTAGTAGGGAAAAGTGTGGGTAAATAGATGTAAATAGGTTTCAAAGAGTCCCATCATATCTATCCACATTCACCATGGATTCTCTAAGCCCTTCGCTCCGTTCGATGCCAGGCCGGAGTGCCCGGCTCCAGCGAGTTCGACAGCTACTCCGCCAAATTGGAGAAGTCGGGAACACCCAGCGCCCAGGGTCGTTGGATGGGCCAGCAGCCCGTGTTGGAGCGAAGCAAGGTTCGCAGATGCATGCAAAAACCCATGTAAAGACGCCTTTGTTGGAAAAAGGTGAACCAGTTGCTTTCCAGAATACCTGACGGGGTCCGTATATACATTATTGTTTGTATACGGTAGATCATCCACGCTTTTCCCAACGAGAACCTTCCAACACCCACTAGTCTTCACGCTTCTGCTTGTGCTAAGGACCCGTAATGAGCGGTTAGCTCAGCAGGAAGATGATACCAAGAAAGCGCTCAAGGTGTGAAGTGCTTCTCGCTCACTCGAACTTTGTTTTCCAAACTAAGCCTGGCGAGGGATAGGAAGGAAGAGGGGTGTGGATGGTGCGGCGGCAGCGTTTGCAATGGATTTTGCACTGGGGTCCCTTCTTTGGGTGGTTCCCCTTCACAACCCAGCTACACTCTACCCGCCTCGATTATGGAGCATTGTGGGATGTCAACTTTATTGGTGCCTGGATCCTCTTGCGGCTTTGCAGGGTCCCTGGATCCTTCATGCAAGTAAGATTCTGCTGTGGGTCCATCCCTTTTGCACACGCTTCTGTGAGATACTGAGGAACATCAAATCACTTGCAGGATTTGATGGGCTGCATATGTTTGTCAAACAATCCTTCCTTTTAGGCCATATACCTTATACATCCTTATACCTTCCTTTCTCATGCCATTCTAGAAACATTCTATCCGATTCTTGTGATGCTCAACACCCACGTGACAACCTATCCTATTTTGGACCGATCGCTGGTAGAGAATGTCTGGTACCGATCGGTGCGAGATCCCAGTTACAACCGAGTGTACATATACATATACCTTGTGGGTTCAGATACCCATTAATGTTGCATCCCAAACGCTCCAATCAAGCCTTCTTGGTCCCTCAAAATCTAAGGAGTTGAGAGTGCAGACTCCTCCATATTCTGGTCCAGCCCCCTACTGAGGAGATACCCATCGTCTGGGATAAAGTGGCATCCAGATTGTTTGGACCCTGTCGAAATGGCTGCCTTGTAGTTTGGGGTCATGGCTACACAGTTGGCTTTGCCGCGACTCGCCAATTGCCGGTTTGCCTGACCAAAGAGAAACAAGTTTGTCAAAGCTTGCGCACCTCGCCAGGCGGTGAACAAGGGGAAGAAGGAGAAGAAGAAAGAGAAGAAGAAGGACAAAAAGTCGTGGATAGCTCAGGTCCTTCCACCTGTTTGCCGGGCCTGTTTGCGGCAGACAGGAAGAATTTGGAGGGCTGTAAGAGATGGCAGGTTTGCTGCACCTTCAAACACTACAGATTTGTATTTCCCAATGGGAAGCATCATTTCTTTGGCTGTTCTGAGGCTCTATTTAAAACACGTGCAATCTGTATGCCTTAGGTGGGCCAACTATGTAGATAGATGGAGATTGTATTGCTATGACATTAAAGAATGTTCATGAACACGTGTTATTGCCTTTATAGGACTAGAGTTTACTTTTGACTAAAGGACCGTTTGTGCAATTAGTTGGAAAGCACAGACTTCTCGGAAGTACAGTAGTACACAGACGAAGACACGAACCTTTGCAGTGTTGTGGGGGGCTTGCCGAATATGCAGACTTGAAGACTCACTTCTTGGTTCGGAGCCTGCACGGTCCCGTTTGGGATCCATCATCAAGCCAAAGACGAAGACACGAAGCGGATCAACAGATCGGTAAAACCGGGTGTTTCGGGGTAGTAAAGTGTTGAATGAAGGTGACAGAGGAGTTGTGTGACTTCTTCATCACTGCCAGCAGCACCCACGCATGCACACACAGAGAGTTCATGTGAGACTGCAAGAGGAGACAAGTAGATTGTGTCTTGAGTTGTTTTTTGTTAATAGCATGAAATGCAAAATGTGTTTCTATGATTTGGAGGATCACTGGTCTTTGTAGGAAGTGGCTTTGCTTTGGTTCGCTTCAGTAAGAATGATGTGTCGTTCGGCTCAAGGATGAGAGCACTTTCAGTAAAAGCCAAATGTTTTTGTTGTAACACACAACCGGTGTTACAAGACCTGAATGGATAGAACACAGAACCGGTTCCAACCGGGACACGAGGACAAGCTTCTCCGGTTGTCCTCAAAGAACGCCGGCCGTTTCGACCATTGAGGAAACCTTCCAAAGAGCAGAAATCGATTCAACATGATCCCGGCACGACCCCAAACAATCTGTCTAAGAGACCCCTACATTTGCCACACTGTTTGGGGAGTTAAGCAAACTGTTGCAATGTGCACTTCAATTCAGACTTGTGTTTTTTCTTCTGGTTTTGGCTTCATGTTGCTATGGAGAGCTGTGGCAATGTGTGCGACTGGCTACTTTGTGGAGAGTGGCCAGATCCTGGACCAGGTCTGCTTTTGTCCACCACCTTAGCCTTTAAGATAGTTTAAAATCCTCTATTAAATAATTAGTTCAGAAGGAGGAGACGCCGTTGGGAGAAGGGAAAGCAACGGTCTTGTAGTTTTCCCGTATTTTTGTTCCGAAAAGAGCAATCCTGCGCCAGGTTTGTGCTAAGAACCAAGTTCGAGTTGTAGCCGCAAAGATTTTCTGGAAAGCCTTGGTTCTATTTTGCCTCTCGAAGAGCAAGAACAACCTTGGTTCTATTTTGCGGGTGATTCCACAGGCCGCCAGCTGTGGGCTGCTTTTCTGAAGGACGTGGCGAAGATCAACCTTGGCAACTTTGTGCAGGTCAAGACACGAGTCTCAAACTGCCCCAAAACCCCACCACCGGACAAGCGTTTGCAGAGATTTGTCAATGCAAACGCAAGGCAAGTAGATCTGCAACCAAACTGGACATCGGCAGGGGATCGGATTTGTGATTGGAATGTAAGCTTTGGCCAAAGATCGGTGCGTGTCACCTATGACTGGCGCCGCTTCATCAGCGACTCCACCAATGATTTACATGTGTTGGAAGAGGTGGCAAAAGCAGGAAGATGGCCTACAGCCTGGGTGGTGATTTCTGGTGTGCATGATTGCTATTATCTCCGACGGAACTTAGCGTTTCAAGCTTCCTCCACGAAGGGCTTCTTTAGTTTCTTGGAGCAGCACCCTATCTTGAAGAGTCGTACGATTATCGTGGGCATGGAGTACATGGTGGACAAGGATGAGCACCCAAAGAAAAAACGCAGAAAGTACAGGTCTTCTCGTGGTCCAAAATCCTTGTACAACTGTTCGCGGAGACTTCACAATATGATGCTAGAAGGGGCCCGAGAACATGCAGTGTATATGATTCCACGTTGGGGACTTACACGGAGCTACGCGGATAAAGAAGTAGTCAACAGTGTGCATTATCCGGAATCAGTCATTCTAAATGAGTTGCCATCACTACTGACTGGTCTTTCTTGCATTGCCAAAGGCAGGCAACATGGTCAAAGCCAAAGCATCTTGCCCTTGATCACGGCACCGTTCTACACCGGTCCGCTGCTTCTCCTTTACTTCCTCATGACGGTCGCAGCAGCAGTTTGTGCGCTGCTCGTCGTGCATCGCGGGAGGAGATCCTGGCGGGAAAGAGCTCTACCAGAGGGTCCAGCCACTCTTGGTGCGCGAGGGCGACAGCACGACGCTCAAGAGGCCAAGTGCACTGAACAGGAAGACGACTGAGTTTTCGGTCATAGCACTTGGCGCCGTACTAAGCAGGGTTTTTCTGTGGTCTTGTTCCCAGGTTCTTTCTGATCGGTCAGTAGCCACGTTTCACGTCCTGAGACAACCAGCCGGACCCACGGGCCGGCATGGACCGACGGGACCGAGCGCTGGAGATTTCAGCAGAGCCTTAAAAATTAAGGCGAGGAAGAACCACGACTCTGGCGGTGAAAACGACTCTTGAGAGCAGACTGACTGGCGGAATGCGGAATGCAATCCGAAGCTTCAGTTTAAGAAGGGAGAAGATATCTCAAGATAAAAGCACCAAGATTGCATGGTGATCGCTTTCGAACTATATACCCGAAGTAAGGTCGGTGAAGCGGACGGCGGATGGGGCCGTCCTGGCACAAAGCAGCCCGGCGACCTGGGAGCAACATGAAGAAATCAGCTACAGACCATCTTAGATGACATCAGGCAGACATTGATGTCTCTCTTGCTTTTAAGAAACAACATCCATGATTTGAGCGGTTTGGCGTTTGGCGTTCCAGTGTTGTAGCGGTATCATGCTATATAATACGGATGCATTTGCATGCTCGCCAACTGGAGGTTTTGGTGAAGCTTTGATCCTATAATAGAGGGTCATACTGTTGCAATGGAACAATTTGCAACTTTTGCTATCAACATCTGCAGCACAGACAATGACCACGTGTCTCACGTGAGGTGGCGAATCCGAATCTGAAAAGGAAGATGCCCTGTTGGCACGCTACAAGCTCCTTGGACTGGGTTCATTTCCCCCACGGCCTTGGGCGTCAGCCCTGTTGGCTGCATAGCGACCCTCTTCCCCCCATCGCATTGGCTTTTCATTGGCCTTGTGCATTTAAGCATGCAGAAGTTCATTTCTTTAGATGCCATGTTGATTGAAGACAACTATTGCTACTTGCAGGAAATGATTTCAATGATGTCAATGATCCAATTGCCGATCTCTAAAAGTTAAAACTAAACATGTAAAAATATAATATTTATATATATTACATATATATAATATATATAATATATGATCTCTTCTGTTCTTTTCTGTCCTTTGCACGAAGCGATTCGTGTGTGGTTTCGGTAGAGTGGGGCTTGAAGTGGGAGGGGGCTCGATAGAGTTCGACCGTTGGTAACCGAACACAATAATGGCCTATCCCTATTTCGAGCGTCCGACAACGGCCCGGAGAGCCTTGGCACGGTTCGATTGTGGGACGCGGAGCTTTCGCCATTTTTTTTTCACAAGCTAATGAGAGTGTGTCTTATGGCCTTGATGCCTGGTATGTCTCTCTGGATTCCATGTTTGCTATTAATATATTAAAGTGAAGTTCCAAGCGGTCGAATCTAGCTGCTTTGGGGGGAAATTGCGAATAGGGAGATTTACGAATTGATACATAATATTTCCTTACAATCGTAGAATGCCTTGCAAAGGATCGTCTAGGATTAATTTTTGTTATAAAATGTTTTATGTTCTTCCCCCCTCCCTTGGGACATTAGATATTTATTTTATAGAGGTTTTTTTTTGTTTTAGAATTGAAATGAAATTCGTGCGCGCCTATGAATACGATTTTTTTTGATTGGGAGATTTCTTGAAGAAGATTATAAGAAAAATAACCTAAAATGATATTGGTTAGATTTGGTTAATAATTGGATATACAAAGAGAAAGATTTAAAAAAATATAAGAAAATACAACAAATTTGAAACAAAATATGTTGAATTGTATATTTTTGTTGCTTGGGGCGATGGCGCCTAAAAAATGAAAAGGTATTTCGTAATTATTGTTTTAATATTATGATTTTTGAGGATTAGGTTTAATAGAATATTTTTATAAAGAATTTATGGTAAATATAATGGCTTGAGGATTGGATTGACCAATTTATATTATTTAATATGGTTTATAGGATTTATTCCGGAGAATTATTATGATTATATATTAAATATGATTTTAATATTAAAATATACATATATAAATAAATATAGTATGAATTAACGTCCGGGTGTTATCGATTCGTAATTGAAATAAACAAAAAATAAAGATATTTGCGGAATAAGTAGTATATGTTGCATAAGTGTATTTTTGTTTTATTTGTTTCGAGTAATGGTTGGCGATGCGGGGAAGGTAGAAGAATGAATAAATAGTTAATGAAATGAAAATAAATGATATTAATAGGTATGTTAAAGGAAATGAGGAGGAATGAAAAGGATATAATAAAGGATTAAAAGGAAATTGTCTGAATAAATATGTAAAGGAAATATATAAAAATTACAGAAAACGACGTTATGCGGGTGTGGTTTTTACGCGTTTTTGTGATTTGTGGTTTTCTGTGTTTTTTTGAAAATGTTAGTTGTTTTGAAGAACGTGTCTAGCAAAAAAGTCGATTTGTAATTTATTAAATTTCTCATCAATCTGATTCAAACATATTAGTTCTCATTGATTCCCACACAGAAGTCCATCAACCATCATCTATTAGCAAGT